TACAACTTAATAAAACAAACTCTTGAAATTTTAGTACATCATTTTTGGATCTTCATATAACTATCAACAACAATTCTATTCACACGAAAATCTATGATAAAAGAGATGACTTTGACTTTTGTATAGTTAATTATCCACATTTAGATGGAGACGTACCCCATGCAACATCTTACGGGGTTTATGTTTCTCAGTTAATTAGATTCGCTAGAGCTTGTAGCAACGTGAAGGATTTCAACGAGCGGAATATTTTTATTACCAGCAATTACGGAAATATTTTACTAAATTTTACAATCGTAACTTTGATTTAATTTCTAAATTCAATAGTGATTTAAAAACTCTTCTGCGACAAGGGATTAGCCAGCCTGGTTTTTATGGCGATGTGATTGATTTTGGGTCATGGATTTTTTTAGTGCTGTTTTTACTAAAGTCATTAAACGTTTTATTAAAAGAGGTTATGACCCTACTATTTTAAGACATATACTGCATGTTTATATTCAACCCTTTTACAGTTGGACACTACGCTTTCCTCTTTTGATTGCATCTGACGGACCAAGTGGGAGACTCTATGATGGATAGTTCGTAAAGCCCTTTGGGACTGAATTGTCTTAATGTTCGTCTTCTGCCTTGCTTCGTCGGGCCCTTGTAGGTGATTTTCTTGTTGCTCTGTCTTCCTTTAGGACATTGAGTACTTTTGTTATGGTCATTTGGTTTACTTTTATATGTTTCTACGTGATCATTTTAGTGTTTTACTTATTTAACCTTTTGTAACCATGACAACTGTTAGAATTTCACTTGGCGGGGATTCATTTTATTTACACTGTCTCGTTTATAGGAACATGGTGGGGCTTAGAGCGAGGTTTGGTGCACCATTAACCGGTTTAAACTCCCCAGCAGTCATTATTATGCTGCTGACCGTTCCAAGGCGGCGCCCCACTGTGTTCCTCAGATGTATGTCTATGTTGTTTCATACTGTTTTGGCGACACTTTTGCTTGTGTCCCCTTGTTGTTTTCTCGTCTACGGTAAGTATCTTCCCCTTTGCCTCTAGTTTTTATTTCTTTGATTACCCCCCCCCCCTTCCCCCGGTCTCCTTCCCCTTTGTGGGCCTATTGTTCTTTTCTTTGAATTCCTAATCAGTTACAAATTATTTATCATTTAATGATTAACCTGTCCGTGCTCTGTCTTTGCCCTGTCCTGTTTTTGTTTGGGGTCCGCCTGGGCTCCTTGCCATTGGTTCTTGTTGCTGGGTCATATGGGGGTTGCGTTCATTGAACGCCGCCTTTCCTTGTTGATCTTGTTTATCATATTTTAAACTAAAAGTTACTTTGACCTTGTGACCACAAAATCAATAGGGGTCTTCTACCCAATATGGACAATCATCCTATGAAGTTTGAATATTGTGGGCCAAATGGAACTTAAGTTATGTTCCGGAAACTGTTTTCAGTTTTAAGGTAATAGTGACCTTGACCTTGTAACTCCAAAATCAATAGGGGTCTTCTACCCAATATAAACAATCATCCTATGAAGTTTGAATATTGTGGGCCAAATTGAACTTGAGTTATGCTCCGGAAACTGTTTTCAGTATTAAGGTAATTGCGACCTTAACCTTGTGACCCCAAAATCAATAGGGGTCTTCTACCCAATATAGACAACCATCGTATGAAGTTTGAATATTGTGGGCCAAATGGAACTTAAGTTATGCTCTTGAAACTGTTTTCAGTATCAAGGTAATTGTGACCTCGACCTTGTGACCCCAAAATCAATAGGGGTCTTGTACCCAATATGGACAATCATCCTATGAAGTTTGAATATTGTGGGCCAAATGGAACTTAAGTTATGCTCCGGAAACTGTTTTCAGTATCAAGGTAATTGTGACCTCGACCTTGTGACCCCAAAATCAATAGGGGTCTTGTACCCAATATGGACAATCATCCTATGAAGTTTGAGTATTGTGGGCCAAATGGAACTTAAGTTATGCTCCGGAAACTGTTTTCAGTTTTAAGGTAATTGTGACCTTGACCTTTGACATGGTGACCCAAAAATCAATAGGGGTCTTCTACCCAATATGGACAGTCATCCTATGAAGTTTGAATATTGTGGGCCAAATGGAACCTAAGTTATGCTCCGGAAACTGTTTTCAGTATTAAGGTAATAGTGACCTTGACCTTTGACCTTGTGACCCCAAAATCAATAAGGGTCTTCTACCCAATATGGACAATCATCCTATGAAGTTTGAATATTGTGGGTCAAATGGAACTTAAGTAATGCTCCGGAAGCTGTTTTCAGTATTAAGGTAATAGTGACCTTGACCGTTGCCCTTGTGACCCTAAAAAATCTATAGGGGTCTTCTAACCAATATGGACAATCATCCTATGAAGTTTGAGTATTGTGGGTCAAATGGAACTTAAGTTATGCTCCGGAAACTGTTTTCAGTTTTAAGGCAATAGCGACCTTGACTTTTGACCCCAAAATCAATAGGGGTTTTCTACCCAATATGGACACTTATCCAAAGAAGTTTGAATATTGTGGGCCAAATGGAACTTAAGTTATGCTCCGGAAACCAAATTGCTAACGGACGGATGGACAGACAGACAGACGGACGCCAGGGGGTATAACATAATATGCCTTTTCGGGCATATAAAAACAGTCTCCTCACATCGATTACCTCCCTTTGCAGATTGTATTGATAAGGGGAGATCACTGCGTAGAAGATTGGAGTTTGACATGTTGTTAAATCTTACTTGAGTTAAGTAAGTCATGTCATTTAACTTTGACAACACAATAGTAATCACCATAAACATATAGATAATTATATGATATCAAACAAATCTATCAGTTTTAAATATCTTTATTTTGTGTATCAAAATCAGTGATTGAATATAATTATGTGAAGCATAACAATGTAACTTAACAAGAACAACACAATCATTTCATTAAGAAAGAAGCTCCAGAATTTACTTGAGGGTCAATCTCAGTCCATGTCTGTAACGTCGTTTTTCATTGGACAATAGTAAAGTCTATATAGTTCATTAATAACATGTAGATTTGAGATTTAACTTTAAACTCATTCAAACTAATCAACCAATTGTAAAACATCATAAATTCATTATAAAGACATTTGACTTTCATGCTACAGTGCTCATTAAATGTAAACACAATACACTCAAGCCTGTGAATTTAGACCATCCAAAGAGAGACCAATTGCATGGTCTTTACAGACAAGTGGTCTTTACACTTTAATCAATGAAAGTCTGTCAGGAGATTGGTCTTTACTTACAGGGTGGTCTTTATTCGAAGGTGGTCTTTAACATAGGTTTGCCTGTATAACCCTTGTCTAAGAGCTAAGGTCAAATAAACTTACAGACTGGTTATCTTAGGAACTCACCTAGCAAGAGATCAAACCCCAGTAGGGACAATACTTTATTTCCTTGAGCAAAAACCTATACAGTCATCGCTTAGTACTGTTGGTTCTTTGTATTTGAATTGTTTGCTTATTTAGGTCATGTCAAAGGCAGCTAACTTACATGCAAGTCTAAATTATCTTATTTTCACTTCCTGTTTACGTTTTTGCATTCTAATTATAGTCACGATTTAGAGTAGTCACAATTTAAATTTCATGCAATTCAGTAACACATTTGTGTTAACTTTTTTCAGTTTCAGTAAAGACTGATAAATTCTTAATAATACATTAATTTTCTGTTATTTTTTATATCTTTTTTTTGTATAACTTTGATAGGGTTAATTCTTCAATATAATGCTTAAGGTTTTAATGAATATACCAGCAGCAGTTTGTTTGATACAAACTTCTATGGAACAGCATTTCTGTGTTTATGCCCAGCTCCATATTTAAGTAGGAACAAACTAAAATAGGTCTTGAAATTCAACCAAATACTTATTCTATTCTTTACCAATATGGACCTTTCCGGTTTTTCATTTAGCCACACCTTTTCCATTCATTGCTAGGTCAACTGCTCACAAACAGTATCACAAACATAAGCACGTGTTCTTTTGTGCAAACCAGGTCAACCAGTGACTATATATTATCTCAGTGTAGCGATTGGATAACAAGTTAGCCAATTTACATTTAACTGTAAACACCGGAAAGGTCCATTCTGTAAAGTGAATAAGATAACTGTATACCATATCAATCATTATGCATATAATTATATTTACATGATAATAATCATTTAAAATTTCAGTCATTTTCACATATTAAACCAAAGTAGTTAAAAGTTGATTAAATGTATGCTTTTTTTCTGCATATTGTGGGCTTGACATATACCCTTGGGAATAGGAAGTTTTGAAAATTGTTTTTTCTTAAAGCTAAATAGCGCATACATTTAACCACAACAACCACCATTAGTATACTTGTTCTGATTCAGAAATGAAAATTACTATTTTTGGTTTTCTTGCTTAATCCCCCTTGTCCAAAACTGTAGTTTCCTTAAGTGGTCAAAAAAAAATTAATTTGTCAAATATTAGAAAACCTTGAAACCAGAATAATAACATAAAATCAGGTTACTGAATCTTTATTCAGTCATAAATTCAGATTAATTTGGAGTTTTTAAATCAGTTTTGTACCATTTCTTTGATATTCAATTCAATACACCACCTTCATATCATAAAAAATATAGCATATGTATTTCTATAATTACTTTTTGAGCTACGTGCGACACAAGTTGAAAATTGCAAATTTTTACAAAGTCAAGGGAAGTAACTCTAAAAAATACTAAATATATCCACACGAAAATACCCAGGTGCACAACTGCACATGCAGATCAACATTTCTGTAAAGTTTCATGACTCTAGGTCAAATACTGTTTGAGGTTCATGCGTCACAAAATGAGGATGGACAGTGGACGGACAACGGTACATTTTCTTTGACATTATCAGCTTAGAGATATACAAGTTAAGAAAAATTTCTAAGTCAAAGCCAAATTTTATTAAAATTAATCTTTTATAACGTTTGGTGCTTTATTTTAAAAGAGGAAATAATCATAAAAATGTCAATTCATACCATATAATATAAAAACATCATCATCACAGCCCTTGTTTTGATCCTCATATTAAATTAATTTACAGTTGGCCTAATACATTTGACATTAAGACTTTTGTTTACATTTTCCGTGCATTTCTACAAATGCCACAAGAGCTTGTGGAATTTCATTTCTATAGGGTATGTCATTCTTCGTAATTACCCTAGAAGACAAACATCTCAAGTTTATATAGTTCAATGGAAAAAATGGTAGTCCTTGATTCTCCATAAGTGAAAGTGGACTCTCCCCGGCAATGTTCAATACATCTATATGAGAGCCGGCTTGTAAGAGGAATTTTATTATACTTTCCTCAGTAGCGTCCGAGTAATTCAACACTTTCACAGCGGTAAGAAGCGGTGTGCTACCATCTTTACTTTGAGATTTCAAGTCCGCACCACAGCTCACTAGAATCTGAATCACTTGTAATGATGGGAATGGCGAGTAAAACTCTTCACTTGTTAATGATATTTTTGGATCAACAGCTAAATGTAGTAAACTTTCACCATGACTTCCGCGGGGATTTTTTGTTAAAACTTTATGTACAAGCTTCATGAACTTTTCCTTATTTACCTCGGAACACTCCGACCTTGAGAATAAATGTATCATATGTAGATATAGCTGCATCAGTAACTGTATATCAGACACTTTCTCCTGTACACTTACATCATCACCTTTCTCCCTCATCTCAACCTCAACCGAATCTTTACCAGCTATTATCTGATTAGACAAGATGTCAAAAACTTGCATAACATCCTCTTGTTGAATAAAGTCATCTGTAGCACCGGATTCCACATCTGTTTGTATCTCCCAGAAAAGCTTTACAAGGGCTTGAATTGTAAACAGACATTCCTGGTTAAGGGGTTCTGTCTTTTGGTATCGGAGACAGTAAGCGTATTTCCACAGATCAACGCATCGCTGGAAGTTGTGTGAATCGGCATATACGGCACCTCTATACATTAACCCAAATGTGGTATCTTTATGCTGAGGTCCGAGAATCCTTTCCCTCATTAACAAGGCCAGCATATGAATTTCTTCTGGGTCATATACATTGTTTAGTTCTTCAACAGTCTGTGGTTCAGTAAAATTCCTATAGACTGACTTTTTCTCCTGTACTTCTTTCATAATAGGTTCCCTGACATACAAATATCTTAGACTCATCGCCTTCTTCCAAACAGTTAATGCAGCAACCATGTCATTTTTCTCATCAACAAAATTTGTTCCTAAAAGTTCATATGCTCGTATAGCGTCTGCTGTTGTTTGTGGTGTCAAGTCCAGAATTATTTCTACAATATTCTGACTGCCTCGTAATGCAGCAGTTTGAAGCGCGTCATCGCCCCAGTCGTTTTTCACTTTAAAATCAGAGTTATGTTGTAAAAGAAGCTTTACAGTATCGACCATTCCTTCGCGTATTGCATAATGAAGCGCTAAATTTCCTGAATTATCCATGGCATTCACACTAGCTCCTTGATTGATCAAGAACTTGCACAGTTCTGCATCTTGCACAGCATTTATCAAACAAGTGCCCCCGTTACAATTTGGTTTATGTATATCGGCACCATGATTAACTAAGTATTTTATCACAGATATGTTTGTCATATAACAAGCTGAACGTACTGGTGTCGACTCTGTATCTGACGGACTATTTATATCAGCTCCGTGCTCAACTAAAGATTTGACAACTTCAAGTTTATTAGCGACTGCAGCACACCATAATGGAGTCACTTGGTGCTTTGATCTATCTTCCTCAACTTCATATATACCTACAAAATAGAAAGTTAATCTAAAATATTTTTCAAGGTCTTGCTTCAAACTACTTATGAAACACAGGAAAAATGTTCACAAAGATTACAAAGGGATAAAGATGCCATGATCATAAATGTAATTGAAATGTTAGTGAAGTTGCCAACCCAAAACCGAAATGCCATAAATACATTCCAAACATTAAAATACATGTACATGATTTAGTAAATTTAATAGATATTGCAAGACTGAATACAAAATAATGACAAGATCTGTGTCATCAATCAAGTTCATAAATGTGGTTTAATTATTTCTGTCCTTATATCTTTGTTTCAGCAGTAAGAATAATATTTTCCTTTGTGTATATATACAGTATAATAAACCAGATGTAAGAAGAACAGAGGGGCATGTTTAAACTAAACTACAAGACTATTCTTTACTACACAGCTAAGGAGGCCCAACACTAGGATTAAACAAAATAACAACCCAAGTCAATAAATATCAAATATTTTAAGACAATCATGTATATAACATGAATGCGTCATGCTTAAATGAGGGAGCCACAATTTATCCCAAATTATATAATATATATTTGTTTATTTGTTTGGATGTTACCCTATTTTAACACATTTTTTTAAGGTCAATACACCTTGCCAGCTTTCCTGAATAACTAACCAGTAATTTCTCCAAAAGTGACTGACATCTTATTACACATGATTTCTGAATCAGCAGTGTGAGACAAATGACCTTTATAGACTACATGTCAGAGATCACTTTCACAATGAAATTTCCCCTATCATGAGGGCCAAACAAATACCCCTACATCAGAAATCCAATGATTCCCTATTAAGCTAAGTAGGTACATGTATATGTAAAACTCCGTTCAAAAACTTCCATATGACTAGTAGGATAGCAATTTAAATGAGCCGCGTCATGACAAAACCAACATAGTGCGTTTGCGACCAGCATGGATCCAGACTAGCCTGCGCATCCGCGTAGTCTGATCAGGATCCATGCTGTTCGCTTACCAACCCTATTACAAGTAAAGAAACTGATAGCGAACAGCATGGATCCTGATCAGACTGCATGGATGCGCAGGCTGGTCTGGATCCATGCTAGCGGCAAATGCACTATGTTGGTTTTGTCGTGAGGCGGCTCAAATGAAGATCACAACAAATAGTTCCTCACCTTTCAGCTCTACATCAGCAGCACATTCATTCAACAGGAAGTTGACAAAATGAACTTTACCACGGTGGCACGCTGTAAACAATGGTGTATTGCCAAAAACTTTCTGATCAACGATTTTCTTACGTTGCTCTTTTGGTCTTTTCATCAACCCTTCTCTAAGCCTGCTGAGATCATCGTCCTATGATGAAATAAATCAAATTCTTAGAGCACTAAGGGAAATAATTACAAGCTTATACCACCAGTACAGAGCCTGGACAGCTTGCTCTTACATTTAGAGCATGACCGGAATCTATTATGTTGGATTTTATGTTTTCTAATACACTTATACACCCTAAATTTAGTAAACTTGAAATAGTCTATAAAATTATCATGCAAATTCAGTAGAGGAAGACTATTACTTGAAAAATAAAGACCCTTGAAATGTGTGAATTGCCCTTGGAAAAAAAGAGAAAGATTAATTTACTAATTTGTCTGTTTCAAGGGAAGTAAACATCTGAGAACATTTTGCAAAATTAAAATAATGATTATCTCCCTTACATGCAGCATGCTGCTATGTCTAATGGAAAACTATCTGACTGTATACTATCTGACCAGTCCATTATTCAGTGAGTAAATATTTTGATATTTTTCCTAAAATTGGATGATTTTGTCCAGATTGAAAGGCAGTCAAATCCATTTCAGATATTTAGTATGAATTAATGTATTTATTTTTTTGCATTGCAAGAAAATGGTAGTCAGATTGGTAAATAATTAATGCTTTAAATGTTTAACAGGATACCAAAAATAAAAATAGATTAGTATTTTTTGAAGCACATAATGCCACAGAAATGAACACAATTTTACTTCTTTAGAAAGGGCAAAAATGAATTTTATAACATTTAAATAATGGTTTTAGAGCATGTTAAATGCTAGTTACATGAAGAAAGTAATACTACAATCATGTAAATATGAAATTATTTCGACTTCCATACACAATAAGCAACAGAAAAAAGATAGTTCAGGTAATTGGCAAAGAGTAACTTAAAAACTGTATAAAATTTAATGACTATTAATGTGTCACAAAAATTTTACAAATGTCAAAAAGTGGACTTTTTGCATGCGGAAATATTTGCGAAAATATGATTTCTTGAATTTAATACTGTTTTGCGATATCATTAATTAGCAGGTTCATTTTAAGAATATGTTGTTATTGAAATCTTTTTGTTTAGTTGTTTAATACCTTTATTATTTATAAAATTGTTTGAAATATATTGAAATATATATTGTTAGTTTGATCACACATTTCTTTGTCATATTATGAAAAATTCTTTTGTTCTATAAATAACCTATTGTGTTATTAACACATATATATTGTTTCAGTATATTATTTGTGATTTATTAAGACCAAACTTAAACAAGCCATGGGAAAATTAATCTCAGTACCTGAACAGTCAGGCTTATTCATGTTAAATGCTGTATGAAAACGTGATTTCAAACAAGAGGGCCATGATGGCCCTGAGGTCGCTCACCTGTATATAGCCCCCCCCCCCAACGTTGCAGGGCCAATTAAACCCAGGGGCTTTTATTTGCACAAACTTGGTAGACACCCATAAGAAGATGTTTCATGCTAAACATCTAAGCTCTAGCTCATTGGGCTTTTTAAAAGAAGATTTTTTTAAAGTTTTTACTATACACATATAGTTAAAAACAATGACACCCCTGGGGCCGGGCTAGTTTTGACCCCAGGGCTTTTATTTGAACAAACTTTGTAGACACTTACTAGAAGATGTTTCATGCTTAATATCTAAACTCTAGCTATTTGGGTTTTTTCAAAGAAGATTTTAAGTTTTTGCTATACACATATAAAGAAAATCAATGACCCCCGGGGCGGGGCCAATTTTGACCCCAGGTCTTTTATTTGAACAAACTTTGTAGACACTCACTAAAAGATGTTTCATGCTTAATATCTAAACTCTAGCTATTTGGGTTTTTTCAAAGAAGATTTTAACTTTTTGCTATACACATATAAAGAAAATCAATGACCCCCAGGGCGGGGCCAATTTTGACCTCAGGTCTTTTATTTGAACAAACTTGGTAGACACCTATTAGAACATGTCTGATGCTAAATATCTTAGCCATAGCTCTTTGAGTTCTTTAAAAGAAGATTTTTAAGTTTTTACTATATGCATATAGGGAAAATCAATGACCCCCTGGGGTGGGGCCAATTTTGACCCCAGGGCTTTTATTTGAACAAACTTTGTAGACACTCACTAAAAGATGTTTCATGCTTAATATCTTAACTCTAGTCATTTGGGTTTTTTTCAAAGAAGATTTTTAAAGTTTTTGCTATACACATATAAGGAAAATCAATGACCCCCGGGGCGGTGCCAATTTTGACCCCAGGGCTTTTATTTGAACAAACTTGGTAGACACCTATTAGAACATGTCTGATGCTAAATATCTTAGCCATAGCTCTTTGAGTTCTTTAAAAGAAGATTTTTAAGTTTTTACTATATGCATATAGGGAAAATCAATGACCCCCTGGGGCGGGGCCAATTTTGACCCCAGGGCTTTTATTTGAACAAACTTGGTAGACACTTATTAGAACATGTTTCATGCTAAATATCTAAGCTCTAACTAGTTTGGTTTTTCAAAGAAGATTTTTTAAGTTTTTACTATATGCATATAGGGAAAATCAATGACCCCCTGGGGCGGGGCCAATTTTGACCCCAGGGCTTTTATTTGAACAAACTTGGTAGACACCCATTAGAACATGTTTCATGCTAAATATCTTAGCTCTAACTCTTTTGGTTTTTTAAAAGAAGATTTTTTAAGTTTTTACTTTATGCATATAGGGAAAATCAATGACCCCCTGGGGTGGGGCCAATTTTGACCCCAGGGCTTTTATTTGAACAAACTTGGTAGACACCCATTAGAACATGTTTCATGCTAAATATCTTAGCTCTAGCTCTTTGGGTTCTTTAAAAGAAGATTTTTAAGTTTTTACTATATGCATATAGGGAAAATCAATGACCCCCCAGGGCGGGGCCAATTTTGACCCCAGGGCTTTTATTTGAACAAACTTGGTAGACACTCACTAGAAGATGTTTCATGCCAAATATCTAAGCTCTAGCTCTTATGGTTTTTTAAAAGAAGATATTTAAAGTTTTTTCTTTCGGTTGCCATGGCAACCAGAGTTCTGCACTGGAATTAAATTCTTTGAAACAATTTTTAAAGGTGACCACCAAAGGAACATTCCTGTGAAGTTAGGATGAAATTGGCTCAGTGGTTTATGAGGAGATGTCATTTAAAGTAAAAGTTTACGGACGACGGACGGACACCGGACGGACGGACGCCGGACAAAAAGCGATCACAAAAGCTCACCCTGTCACTTTGTGACAGGTGAGCTAATAAAAAGAAATAATTTTTCGAGATCAAATATTTGTGAATAATCTCAATTCGCAAAAATCGCAAATATTTCCATGTAGCAAATTTAACCACTTTTACAGTATATAACAAAAATTAAAACACTTTTGAAAAATAAAATTGAAAGCATTTCTGGGGCATAATTGGTCTTTTGCAAAGAAAAAGTAATGCTTATTTTTAAGAAAAAACAAAACAAGATAAGGTAAACATACAAATTCAGGGTGTCCAGTCATGGGCCAAATGACCCAATTCATCATATAAATGAGTCAAACTTAGTAAGGGTGTAACTTAGTAATCCACATGCCACTGGGCATAATAATACATTTCATCATGAATAATCTATCATTCTCATTAAAGTACTGTATCTTTATTCTTATATCATTTTCATGGTTCCTTGAAATAGTAATTAGCTTGTATGCTGAGGTAAAATAAACATATAGCAGATAAAGCTGTTTCCATCAGTTACAAATGCACTGCTAATGTTGTATTTTATGGATGAACAAATTCAGTCAATGAATTTAAGATTTTAAATTTACTGGCCCGAATTCCAGTTTTAAATTTATTCTACTATATATTTAACTAAATTTTCTTTAAATTTACACTGGCCCAAACTAAATTACACTGGCCATGGGCCACTGGGCCAGTGCTATATTCGATGACTGGTCCGTGTGGAACATAATTATAATTTCCAATATGTTCCAATATGCTAACTTTACAAGACATGATCACCAGTACAATTCTGTGCTATATGCAAGCTTGGCCTTTTAAACTCCTCTTGAAACAAAACTAAATTCAAGTTTAACTTACTCTTATAATAATAACATTTGCTAGCTAATGCAATATTTACATTTAAATAATTTCTTACCTGTACACATTTATGGACAAACTTTGTCATAAAAGTGAGGTCCAGGTTAGTTGTGTCATCTAAACATTTTCTAACAATGTCCATAGTGTTATCTAAACCAGATTCTGAATTTGCCATCTAAAATAAATCAACAAAAACTGTTTTTAGAAGACCAAAGAAATATGCATCTAACCTTTTCCCCTTCCACATAAGGGTAATAATATGGCTATTTTAAGAAAAGGACAGAAGATATGATAGCAGAAAATATAATAACATTTTCAGTATCATTAATGATTAATAAAAATATAAAATTTTCATTGTTGTTTTTACTTTTCAATTCTTTCTTTCTATTGAAATCAATCAAATATTAACTGATCATAAACCTTTGCAGAAGCTTGTGCCTTACATTGTAGACTGTAGAAGAAATTGACCGTCGGTGGCCATGATTGTTTACCATAAATATAATCATTTCTTACAGTGTAAGTTTGATACACATTTATAAGTTATTTTTCTAAAAGTGGAGAAAAATGGTACATTGTACTGTTGTACAGATCTGTTAACAAACCTGGTTCAATAATAATTTAATTAATTATGATTTACTACAATTTCTCAATTAATTGAGAATAAACTAGAACTATCACTAAATGTGATTTAATACCCCCACAAGACTGCTTCGGAAATGAGGAAGTTACTATAGTCTGTCCCATCAAATTTGAACATTCCATTTTTTATTTAATATAAAAGTAAAATCATTTAAATTTATGTCATGTTAACCCTGGCGTCAATATCTCTAGGCATGTTTTTCATTTTTTTCAAAAAGTCAGTTATATGGTCAAAATGTTAAAATTATATTTTTTCCCGTTGACTTACGTTGTAACCTGACGTGACGTCCATTTCAAAATGGCGGCGCCCATAAAGACGTCATTTAGGGTTCGTCTCACAATTAGCGTGAAATGTACTCGGTAATTATAAAAAAATATTATTCTTATTTACTTACTGATTAATAGCTAAATGTTATCATTAAAATGAAAAATGACAACAAAGCTGGTGTCAAAAAGGCAATTTTACTAGCAAACCATTATTTGAAATAATCAAAATCATTTGAAGTGAAAATATCAGTAAGCTTTATAAATTCTAACACACAAAGATTTAATTAATAACCATGATATACTGTCGTATTTTATATTTGTTAATAGATAGCTTTTCAATCAAGCGCGTATCTTGAATACCGCAACGCGTCGTAGGGGAGCTGGAAGACTATAAAAAATGATTCTTCGCTCATTAATGTTTAATTTACGTAATTCTGTAGTTGTCTGAATTCTGTTCATAAGTGTGTATCACGTCTATTCAAAAATAAATAAATTGACCAGGTTCGATGGGATACAAAAATGTGTTACCCTTCTTATTTCGGGTGCGATGTCACGAATGCGCTAAAACTTTCCGTAGGTTTCAACTTTCACAAGAGATCGCCAACAAATACGACATTATCATGCAAATCTTTAAAGAAATATAAAGAAAAGAAAACTTATTCACTATACGTTCAGCATTGGTTTGCTTGTTACCACAGTGTCTACTTTAGCGAACTCCCTCGCTAATGAGAGAACACAGACACGCGTTCGAGGAAAATGTATGTTATAACAAGAGGGCCATGATGGCCCTGAGGTCGCTCACCTGATATAGCCCCCCCAACCCCCCCCCCCCCAATGTTGCAGAGCCAATTTAACCCAAGGGCTTTTATTTGCACAAACTTGGTAGACACCCATAAGAAGATGTTTCATGCTAAACATTTAAGCTCTAGCTCATTGGGCTTTTAAAAGAAGATTTTTTTAAAGTTTTTACTATACACATTTAGTTAAAACAATGACACCCTGGGGCCGGGCCAGTTTTGACCCCAGGGCTTTTATTTGAAAAACTTTGTAGACACTTACTAAAGATGTTTCATGCTTAATATCTAAACTCTAGCTATTTGGGTTTTTTCAAAGAAGATTTAAAGTTTTTGCTTAAACATATAAAGAAAATCAATGACCCCCGGGGCCGGGGCCAATTTTGACCCCAGGGCTTTTGTTTGAACAAACTTGGTAACACCTATTAGAACAGTGTTTGATGCTCAATATCTTAGCCATAGCTCTTTGAGTTCTTCTTTAAAAGAAGATTTTTAAGTTTTTACTATATGCATATAGGGAAAATCAATGACCCCCCCGGGCCGGGCCAATTTTGACCCCAGGGCTTTTATTTGAACAAACTTGGTAGACACCCATTAAAACTGTTGCATGCTAAATATCTTAGCTCTAGCTCTTTGGGTTCTTAAAAGAAGATTTTTAAGTTTTTACTATATGCATATAGGGAAAATCAATGACCCCCGGGGCGGGGCCAATTTTGACCCCAGGGCTTTTATTTGAACAAACTTGTAGACACACACTAGAAGATTTTTCATGCCAAATATCTAAGCTCTAGCTCTTTGAGTTCTTTAAATGAAGATTTTTAAGTTTTTACTATATGCATATAGGGAAAATCAATGACACCCGGGGCGGGACCAATTTTGACCCCAGGGCTTTTTATTTGAACAAACTGGTAGACACCCATTAGAACATGTTTCATGCTAAATATCTTAGCTCTAGCTCTTTGGGTTCTTTAAAAGAAGATTTTTTAAGTTTTTAACTATATGCATATAGGGAAAATCAATGACCCCCCGGGGCGGGGCCAATTTCACCCCAGGGCTTTTATTTGAACAAACTTGTAGAACACTCACTAGAAGATGTTTCATGCCAAATATCTAAGCTATAGCTCTTTGAGTTCTTTAAAAGAAGATTTTTAAGTTTTTACTATATGCATATAGGGAAAATCAATGACCCCCGGGGGCGGGGCCAATTTTCACCCCAGGGCTTTTATTTGAACAAACTTGGTAAGACACCATTAGAACATGTTTCATGCTAAATATCTTAGCTCTAGCTCTTTGGGTTCTTTAAAAAAAGATTTTTTAAGTTTTTACTATATGCATATAGGGAAAATCAATGACCCCGGGGCGGGGCCAATTTTGACCCCAGGGCTTTTATTTGAACAAACTTGTAGACACTCACTAGAAAGATGTTTCATGCCAAATATCTAAGCTCTAGCTTTATGGTTTTTTAAAAGAAGATATTTTAAAGTTTTTTCTTTCGGTTGCCATGGCAACCAGAGTTCTGCATGGAATTAAATTCTTTGAACAATTTTTAAAGGTGACCACCAAAGGAACATTCCTGTGAAGTTTGGATGAAATTGGCTTAGTGGTTTATGAGGAGATGTCATTTAAAGTAAAAGTTTACGGACGGACGGACGACGGACGGACGGACGCCGGACGAAAAGCGATCACAAAAGCTCACCCTGTCACTTTGTGACAGGTGAGCTAAAAATATAATATCATGCTATCAAACGTAGGCCTATACACTTTAAGCTTGTAAAAACAGATTTAACTTTCCGTCTCACAATTCAACAAAATGTCCAGAAATACCGGCAGTGATTTGATATTATTTAGAGTAAGGTTCAATAAGCGACAATAAACTTAAGTGTTTTTATTTTGTAGCATCAAAGTGTTACATATAATTATTTTGTTAATATGAAGGGTAGATCGAGTCAAAGAGAAACACCGAGTGATGTTCTCAATAATTTTAGCCTTCCTAAAATTTGAAAATATTCAGTGAAAAAACAATAGATCTAGCATATTTTTCGCGGGAGAAAAAATACCGCGTATTGTATATACATATTTTGAAGCTAAAAGAGTAGGATTTACAGAAGTCTTGAATAACGAGATAATATGTAGGGAAATTATATCTGATAAATATATAAAATAGTTTAAAAACATAAAATCAAAACGAATGTTATATGTAATTAATGGAAGAAGTATTGTAGATTCATGTCATTAAGTGTGTTTAAAATTATTTTTAAATGTTATCAAAAGTTTTATAGTATTAATATATGAATTGAAGATGTAATTGTTACAGTTAAGTAGCAAAATCTGGGTATACACAAATTATTTTAAATGCCATCAAGACAAATTTATCTCAACGCTTAAAATTATCTGTTTGAGGTTACATATGCCTAACCGCCCCCTGTCAATGACGCAACTGGAATCATCCATAAAAAGCGCGAGGCATGTTTGTTACATCATATATTTCGTAAATTGATGTTGACGTAATAAAGTTTTTTTCGTCAGGAATCCATAAGCATTGTGATATCAATTGACAACTAAAATTGATGGGCCGTTCTTGAATTATGGATTTGGAACATGCGGAATTATGATGTGTTTCATATACATATTTCATTTGCTAACCCAGATAACTCCACAAATTGAACAATGTTTTAATAATGATTAATGAGACGGATTCTACCAGTTTAAAAAATCTGGATAATCAAAAGTGTAGGAGTCATGTCATTCAGGATTTTTGAAGTAAAAAAGTGGGATCTACGGAACTGCACTGGATAGAAACTTGCAATGAAAGAATCTTCAGAATGCAAATTTGTCGTGACGTTTATAAAGTTCATAGCCCGGATTAAATTCAGCTTAATTAAAAGTAAGTGCAATTTCTAGATCTACTCCATGTGACTCGGTGTTCTTGTTGCTTATTTTTCATTTTTAAAAGTTTCCATCATGCATTGCAACTAAACTGTTACATCTTGTAGATCCAGCTTTGTAAAATAATCATGAAACGACCCCGAGAACCTCATGTATATTTTAGAAACATGACTCATGCTTTCTCCCGTTCATCTTCAAAAGAAGAGTACTTCGGCAATGGCTACGGAAAATAATCAACAGAGATTTACCATAGAGAAATAAAAATTTGCTTTCACAAGAATAGTAGACACTTTAGAGTAAAATCCTGAAAAATCTCGAGGGTGACTTTTTTTTAGTTTACAAAAATGTTTTATTTTTTATTCAACGTCGTTTTGTTAATTCATACCAGGCGAAAGTTCATTTCCATTTTTAATGGGACAGACTATAGTAACAGAATACCTTGCAAAACAATTGAAATAGAGTTATGGTTGTGGGCAATTAAAGATAGTTGTGGTTCTTGTATGTTGCATTTCCTTTCAATATGGTTGACTATTGAAGTTTTATTGAATTACTCTGTAATAATTCCTGAAAGAGTTACACTTCTTGAGCACTGCACTTTCTCTCATTGGGCTTGACCATTGTATGAAGTTGCATTGAATTCTAAACATTAGTTTTTAAGTTATGCACCGGACAAGGAAAAGGAACAAAGGGCAATAACTCTACAAATACTGAAGATGGAGTTATGGTTATTGTACACTGCACTTCCTCTCATTGTGCTTGACCATTGTATGAAGTTATTTTGAATTCCAACCATTAAGTTATGCTCCTGACAAGGAAAATGCAACGGACCGCTGGACCAACCAACCGACCGACCACAGAGTGACTCCTATATACCCCCCCAAACTTCGTTTCGGGGGTATAATAATAATTGAAGAAAAAAAGAATAACTTTAATTGTAATTAAAATCCCTAAAACACAAAATAATTGATAATTAAATTCAATTATTTTCAATTACATGTTGTAAACACTGTCACAAATATATCACAATAGACAAGTCATTGTGCAGTAAGTCTTGAGACCTGCAGTAACCCTATGAATTTTACACCTGGAGTGGTAGTCACATAACAAACACTGATGATTATTAAACCACAGAACTACAATAACAATGTGTAAAAGAAGCCATATTAAATAGATCTGCCATTGATCATGGATTACAATCATACAATATATACACATTCACTAAGATAAAATCAAACACACCCTGTCCCATATATACATTTTCATATCATTGTGTTTTGAACCAAAATTAGTCAAAATATATTGACGTGCCAAAGCTTGATTCTGAGATATTTTTGTTCTGGGCAGAATCTCGCTTTTTTGTAGAGGCGACATTGCCCAGACACAAAAATAGCACAATATCTCGTTGCGCAGAACAATCAGTTGGACTTGAGCCAAAATATACCCAAATACAGTATAGGGCCTACTCCATTAAAGCTACATAAATTAAATAAAAAACGATGGACACTTGTATGAAATTTGAACAAAGTTATACCCTCCCCCCCCGCCTGCAGGACAGGGCGGACCGCGAGACAGGGCGGACCGTGACTAGGCGGACCATATTTTGGACCATATTTTGGGACTGGGCGGACCGTCACTCGAGACGAAGCGGACCGTGATTTAAAAAAGTATTTATATGTGGATTAATGTAATAAAAGTATTAAATTATTAATGTTTTTGTTCTTCGTATTAATATTTCAATGCAAATATAAAAGTAAAAATATAAAATAAGTTTTAAAAGTTCATGTGTAATTGTATATTAATTTGCTGCATGGACGATGTCACTCGAGACGAGGCGGACCGTGATTTAAAAAAGTATTTAAATTATTCAATTGTGGATGATTTTGGTTTTCTTTATAATATTTCAATCTAAACCTTTTTATGTAACATATGTAACATTTATATTAGAGTAGTTTATTACTATTTTTTCATAAAAATTGTTTGTAACTGCGTTGGCTTACGCAGGTGATAATTGACCAATTATCGGGATATTACAATGTCATTGTTTGAATAAGACGCTAACGCTGCTAAAATTGATAAATTTTATTAAACAATAAGACACATAAAAAACATATATTTTGTTGTACAATACACGAAAATAACAATGATAACGAATTACATCACATTAAAATTATTTGCAATAACAAAACAATAACAAACAAGAGCTGTCACAAGAGACAGCGAAGCTCGACTAATAAAATACTGGACACAGTAAGGAGGACAAAACTATGAAAGAAAAATCAATTATGTATAATTATGTATTAAGTTATAGTAAAAAATAATATTTGTTAACATAAATTCCAAGATCAAGGGGAATAATTCTAGAAATAATGCTAGAGTTATGGACCTTGTCACACAACATTTGAGTAATGATAGAAATATATATTTGAAGTTTGAAGTTGATACCTTAAAAAGTAAAGAAGTTATTATATTTCTTAAAGAAAATCCTAAGTTCAAAGAGAGATAAATGTGTAAATATTGTTTCAAGAGTTATCAACATTGTCACATTGTAATTGATGATAAGGAATAAGTATTTGAAGTTTGAGGTAGATACCTTTAAAAATAAAAAAGTTATAATAAAAAATAACATTTTTCTAGTAAAAAAATCTAAGTTTATGGGGAGATAATTCTTGCAATATTGGTGCTAGAGTTATGAACCTTGTCACATAAGATGTGGATGATGATAACGTAAATATATTTGAAATATGAAGTTGATCCCTTTAGAAATAAATAAGTAACAGTAAAAAATAATATTTTTTATGGAAAATTCTAAGTTCAAAGGGAGATAAATCTGAAAATATTGGTGCTAGAGTTATGAACCTTGTCACATAAGATAGGGATGATGATAACGTAAATATATTTGAAGTATGAGGTTGATCCCTTAAGAAATAAAGAAGAAACAGTAAGAAATAGTACTTTTTGAGGAAAATTCTAAGTTCAAGGGGAGATAAATCTGAAAATATTGGTGCTAGAGTTATGAACCTTGTCACATAAGATGGGGATGATGATAAGGTACATATATTTGAAGTATGAGGTTGATCCCTTAAGAAATAAAGAAGTAACAGTAAAAAATAGTATTTTTTAAGGAAAATTCTAAGTTCAAGGGGAGATAAATCTGAAAATATTGGTGCTAGAGTTATGAACCTTGTCACATAAGATGTGGTTGATGATAAGGAACATATATTTGAAGTTTGAAGTTGATACCTTAAGAAATGACAAAGTTATAGTGAAAAATATTTTACTGGACCAAAACTTTAATCTAAAATCTGGACGTGGATGCGGACGCCGGGGCGAGTAGGACAGCTCTCCATATACTTCGTATAGTCGAGCTAAAAATGAAGTGACATATTTAAAGAACAAAAGTATTTTATTAAAATTTACATAATAAGCACAGACACATGAAATAAAAAGATACAAGATAAAATGACATGACATGATATAAGATACAGATATACGGAAACGAAATGATGAACATGTAACAATTCAAAACATCAAATATATTCATTACATTGAACATTCATATACAACGAATATATATATATATTTATATACACACACAGCAGGACCGTAAAGTCTGGCACAACTGTCTAGAAATTTCTTTGTTGAAAGAGTCTAATTGGAATATTCTGTCCATAGCTTCATTAGATTGTTGCTGTAAGCACTCTAGCTGTAAAAGAAAGAAAAGAAAAGTTTATTGACCGTAACATATAGATGTGTGTGTATTTTTATTTACACTATAATTTTTTATAATACTTATTAGAGTGACAATAATAATTTTGTAGAGAAAAGTAAAATTGGTTTAAAATTATAAAATGCTTCATTATAATAATGTTTTATTATGTTTACCTGTAACCCCAACTCTTGAGCTTTCCGCCACAAAGCTTGTCCAAAATGAAAGGCACACCCCTGTATTTGTTGCTTGTGGAAAGCAGAATACTTTTATTACATTAATCCACATGTAAATACTTTTTTTAAATCACGGTCCGCCTCGTCTCGAGTGATGGTCCGCCCTGTCCCAAAATATGGTCCTCTTAGTCTCGAGTCATGGTCCGCCCTGGTACGGTCAGCCCTGTCTCACGGTCCGCCCTGTCCGTAATCCCCCCCCCCCAAAAAAAATAAATGTAGACAACAAATATTAGCATATCTTTATCTTAAATTGCAAGTATATTCATTAATGAACCTACTGTAGATAAGCAAATGTCACATGTCAGGGCCTTTTTACCTTCTATAACAGGGGCCGGTATAGGGCTGCTTCCCCAAAGAAAATTTCTTTAAAATCGTGCAGTTTTCCCCAAATATTGAATTTACATCAAGTTTTTTCTTCCCCTTTTGCAAATATACCATGTAATTTTTCCCCAAAATTAAGGGCTGGGCTGCTTCCCCAACTTGTGAAAAAAAGCCCTGCATGTTTATTTTCTTACAACATCTGAACTGCCCATTTCAACTGAATGAATGAAAGTTATAGCCGTCTAAGTCATACAATGTTATAAATATTAATAAATTCATTTTCTCATTATAATCTGTATTTTATACAAACAAAAATGAAAATTGCTATATTTGGGTTTATATGGGCAATATTTGGGTGTATTTGGGTATTTCATGCTGCCGATTTCAAGGTAACATAAATTTGGCACATTTCAAATTATGTGACTAGCGTTAAAATAGGTCAAAATTATAATTATTGTAATCAATTAATTACTTTAAAAATAATTGAACCAAGTTCTGGTTAATGATTTGAAGTACGTCTTGATAAATTCGTTTTTTAACTGTTTAAAATGGGTCGAGTCGTCGGTAGTGCGAATCGTCATCAAAAGTGTCTGCAGGTATAACTTCTATTAATGAAATTGTTTGAAGAAAGTGAATCATTAGCACTTACTAGAACAGTTTCAAAGGACGGTAAGTCGTCTATAAAACAGGGAGATCACGGCATGATGGACTAAAAAGCCTAAAAGGGGCCGCTAAGCAGTTCGCCCAGAACGACCCGAAACAAATCGAGTGCAAGTTGTGATTCGTCACATATCATATCAGTGAGGAGTACAGTAGTTCAAAAAATCATACCATTAAATAACTAGTTTCTTCTTTCCTGAATCATCATAAAACGATATTGAAAAACAAAAATGAAGAATTATTTTGGTGTAACATTTAGGCCGGAAGTTACCAGATTTGATGTTTGATTGGTATAATTTTCATTTCTGTGGAACATTTAATCGAGTAAGACAGAATAAAGTGAGAAAAGGACTCCATTTCCTGAAAAAAAATTACGCACGAAATGGACATTTTAGTTCATAACTAAGATGATATTTTTTCTTAACTGACATATAATATAGGAATGACTATTATTATATGGAAGACCAGCGCTAATGTACTTTTATCACACACCCGTGCCGATTTTGCGACTCCGTAAAATACGGTATGTCTAAAATACGAAAGTGAGATTTTTGACGAAAGTGAGCGAAAGTGACATTTAAAATTTGAATTGTACCGTTTTAATAGAATTTTACAGTGATTTTTCTGTTTGTAGACGTATATTATTAGCGACTTATACTATTTCTTTTCAAAAATAATTACTTTGATGATTTTATCGCCATTTATTTGCATAATTTCTATACACAAGTTCGAAGATCTTCCTTTCGCTCACTTTGAAAAATACGAAAGTGACTTGTAAAATATTAAATATAGAGTTTAAATGGAAATTAATACTAAAATTGCACTTTGTAGACGTATATTATCAGAAATATGTAATATTTATTTTCAAAAAATAATCATTTTGATGATTTAATCACCATTTGTTTGCATAATTTCTATACACAAGTTCTGAGATCTTCCTTTCGCTCACATTGAAAAATACGAAAGTGACTTGTAAAATATGAAATAAAGCATTGAATTGAAAGTTATACTAAAATTGCATTTTTCAGGCGTATATTATCAGAAATTAATATTATTTATTTTCAAAAATAATCATTATGATGATTTTCACCCCATTTTTTACATGATTTCTATCTACAGTTTACAAGTTCAGCAATCTTCCTTTTGCTCACATAGAAAATACGAAAGTGACTTCTAAAATATCAAATTAAACTCTACATTTAATACTTTACAAGTCACTTTCGTATTTTTCTATGCAAGTGAAAGGAAGATCGCTGAACTTGTATATAGAAATTAGGCCAATAAATGGCGATTAAATCATGATTATGGTTATTTATTATAATATATATAATTAGCTGCTAATAATATACGTCTACAAACAGGAATTTTACTGTAAAATTCTATTAAAACGGTACAATTTAAATTCTGAAAGTCACTTTCGCTCACTTTCGTCAAAAATCTCACTTTCGTATTTTAGGCAAACCCTCCGTAAATATGGTATTGCACGGCCGTGCATATATTTTGACGTGACGTCATTAGCGTTATATATGCAATCATAGTGTAAAGACGCGCTAAATGTTAGCGTTCTACTATAGGCGCGTCAACGGAAAATGACTCTTATTTCACTTTAAACGGTCTTTATTTTGGGTATGTGATAAATAGAATATTAAATTCGTGTAAGTCCATTACTGAATTTATTGCACTCGTTGAATAAAATAATATTATGCTCGCCAGAGGCTCGCATAATATAATTTTATTCAACTCGTGCAATAAATTCAGTATTGAACTTACACTCATTCAATATCCTCTATTTATTTCGTTAAACATCATTCTGAAGAAGACCTTACACTTATCATATCCCTTGTCCTGCGGGCTTGCACTCTAAATGCATATAGGTGGTGCAAGTTTGAAATATATGATGAAGCTCACAATTAAAATATAGATAGATCTAGATCAAGTGTTCTTTGTTCTGGAAATCCAGATCAATATTAAATTTTATCAACAAAATATGAAAATCATAAGTTAAACTTGAAAAAAGGTTATTGGTTTATGGGCAGTCATTAAAATTAACAAACAAAGAGTACAGGGGACTTATATGGATCGTCAACAGGCGTCACTTTAAACAATATATAGGTTTCTGGCATTTCATATAAGGTTAACAGACCAATAAGGCGACCGTATGAAAAAGGAATTGAAACTTCAATTGAAACCTTCGACCCTTCTCTATTTTTTATCAATGAAAGATAGAAATGTCACGTGTCATAATAACAAACATCTCTCATCCTTATGGTTTCTGAAAACTAGATTTTATCAAAACTGTCATTATGTGTGTCATGTAAAGGTGCCCTGGAGAACATAAGGTAACAATTTAAGTAGTCGACAAGAAAACTAACTGGCAAATGTTACAGGTTTCTATTAGTAAGTTGTTCATAAATACTTGGCAGTTTTGAAAGAAAAATTAAAATCGATTTGTAGCCAGCGTTCTGTAAAATATATAATTATTTAAACATCCATTTTAAGTTTCACTTACATTTAACCACTTTTATATTGTAAGAGATAATGAATGAAAGAAATTCTGTTTGATAACTATGATTGCAAATCGTGCAATGAAATCTCACGAGAATAGGTGTCCCTGTGTTTCATATTCATGTTGTTATGAAAGAGAGAAAAAAAAACACAAAAAACATTAGTTAACGTTTTAAAGAGAAAGATTCATATAAATAAGAATTATTTTGGAGCAGAATAAAAAACGACGTGTATCAATTAAGGAAAAAGCGTATTCCGTACCAATTATAAAAATAGCACATATATCTCAGGGTTACCATGAGAGACATATATTATTTCTTATATTATACCGATTTAAAACATCTTAATATAGTAAGAAGTTTAAACAAGCAGAGAGGCCAGGGGAAAGAACTAGAACATTACGTTTTCTTAAGGTAGCACACCACAGTAATGTAAGCCACAGCTTCGAATGGCCAGGGAGGATTTCTTGGATATAGTGAATATTCTGGATTTAAATGACTGGTTGTCTTTAAAATGCATGTTCAGCATAAAATTTGTTTTTGTGACATCTAATATGATCACTGGCAAATTCGAAAACATGGCCAGAAATCACATACTGTTGATTATGTATGTCCAGGCCGCCATTTTTTGTAAACATTGCTTTTAAACAGCATGCACGGTAAAAAGAAGTCATTTTACAGGGGCGGTACAAACTTTTAGCAGTAGCAAAAAATCTACAAGGATGAGGACTAGTTTCTTTGTGATATTTTGCATGTATAGGGAGTTGCTAAAGCAGAGACGGTGTTCCTTTAGCCTGTATATTTGCAGATATTTTTTGCCAGAGGGTCGAAATGTGTTGTTTTGGGTCTCGGGCCACTGTAGATTTTGGGCTTCAACGGAATGAATTGCAACTTTTTTGACTGCCTGCCTATTGCAGATGGGATAATTTCTTTGTAGATTTGCAATCTTATGTCATATATGTTCTCAACAAAATGTGTTTTCTTTTTCCAGGTTGTGTAGTTTGGTATCAGAATTATTAGACGTATTGCTTGTAGGACATTGACGGCAGGAACTTGAAATTAACTGTGGAGTGCTACCTAAGTCTATATCTGGATTATTTGCCCCTGGGGAATATTGAACGAGTGATATTCATTTTCAGGATGATAGATCGAAATAACAAGTGTGACGTCACATAAGGCTATATAGTGAAACGTTAACGTGAGTTTGATATAGGGTTAACGCAAGTTTTTTTCGTGTTAAATGCTTATACTGGGCACTCTTAAAAAGATAAGCTCTGACATAAGATGTAAACAAGATCGCAAACGCTCCCGTTATGAATATTTTTGATGGAGAAAAAGTGTGCCTTGAAACCTTTTTGGTGGTCTTTGATATAAAAGACAGGCAACTGAGAAATATCAAACACCATATGGAAGAACACGGTGCTCAACCACGTGTTCACGGTTAAACAGGAAGACGAGCTCCAAATGCATGTCTTCTTTGTTTACAATCCGCTAGGTTTATGACAAATTATTTCACATTCATCTCTATTTCATGTTACAAGCATCTTACATGCTCTAAAACTAATATTTGAATGTTATAAAATTCATATTTGCCCTTTCTAAAGAAGTAAATAACTTTTTGTTTCTTTAGAACTTCTAAATAAGTAAATGTTTAAATCCAATAATATCAACTCACTAAGAATTGTATCCTGATATACAGTGTACGTCTACAATATTGACAAAGCCTCTTTGATCAAGATATATCGTTTACCGAGAAAAATGGTAGTAAAACAACAACAACAAGTTCAGTATGCTTGTGATTCAAAATTGTTTTATTTATATATGCATGTATTAGGAGAACGTGTAAAGTAAACAGTAGATGTATTTATTTTATTGGTATACCTATTTTAAGTCTTAATATCAAATGTGCAATGTTGAGAGGGAGATAAATTTTGTAAGTTTTGAAAACAAAATGCCGAAATGCCAAAAACCACAGCCGACAACATCCCTATAACAGCAGGCCAAAGGGACTTTATGCCTTGAAATATCAGAGCAATGTCACGTGAATAGTCATTAAATAATAAAACTAGGAATATCAAAAATATTTATAGCCATATTGTTTTTAACTGTTAATATAAATGAAAAAAAAAAAATCATTTCTATAACATAATTATGATGAATTATCAAAAGATATGTAAAACTATTTGTATAAAAAAAAACATTTAAGATAGTATGTACAGTGTTACCAAAATATATATTTCCTTGTTGCTAAGATGAGAATGTCCAAAAATATACTGAATGATTTAGGTGCGTCTTTTTACTATCCAGATTTTAAAAAGGAAAATAAAAGAAACTTAGAAATGTAACAAACCAATGATTGCAATGTACACGTACGGATGATAAGAAAATTAATGTACATGTATCTTTAAAGGTTTAGAGTTTTTTAAACTGTAAGTAAAAGACCAATGCCTTGTTTCTTGGAGTTTTTGATGAATACATGAATGATTGGATGATAAAATGAGATGAGATTTTTTTGGTAAGTATCATCATACTTGACGTTGATAAATCAAGGTCAATGTGTAGATTTGATACTTGCTTTTTGTGGTTTTATGTATTTTTTGGTAAGTATCATCATACTTGACGTTGATAAATCAAGGTCAAAGTGTAGATTTGATACTTGTTTTCGTTGTTTTATGTATTTTTTTTGTTCAAGGCAGATGATATTCATCACGGTCAGGTTGTTATAAAGATTTTAAAACAAATACTTTATTTTTTCAATTGAGGAAGGTTTATGTAAACTTTGTAAAGTTTTCTCATTTAGATAAAATAATATACCGAAATTGTATTGTTTATGAAAATAGTGCTAAAAATATTACTATTGTGTTGAAATTTCACAGAATTTGGTCATTTAAAAATTCATCAAGACTACGCGCGAAATGATATTAACTTGTTGTATATTGTATTGTTTTCCAAAGCAGGATTTTGAAAATGAAGGAAGTGAAAACAAACTAAAAAAATGGTAATGAAGAAATTGGCAATGGACATATGTTACAAACAAATATGATTTGAAATTCGTATAGAATTATCACAAAAGTAAAGGCTGAAAACGAATATGTACAAAAATGTGATAATTAAATGAAAAAAAAAAGCAGTTTTACGTTATAAAATGAAAAATGAGCTGGAAAAGGAGATTAAATTGTTTAATTTTGTATTTTTTTTTTAAAAGAAAATTCCCTATCATTTTGACATCAGCAAAAATGTAGGGCCCTCCCTTTTTAATAGGGAGTGTCGGGGGGCCTAAAAACTAGTGAGAGCTCCCGCCCTTTGAGGGGGGGTTTTTAAATTGCCCCCGTCGACGACTTGAGGAGGAGGAAAAGCCATTTGACTTTTCCCTCGGGTTTTGACACCCGGCTTATACTGGTTTTTTGAACGAAAATGCGACCCCAAATTCCCCTTTCGGCGTCTCCCTGTCAAATATTGATATTTGAGTAAACTCTTTCCTAAAACCCGGGGGGTTTCGGACTCGCCCTTTCTTTTGCTTTGTTTCCTTTCCCAAAAAATATCAAAAAAAATTTTAATTGAAATGTTTTTCAATCCGTTGGGGAAAATGAAGGGGGGGGGGGGGGATTATATTTTTCTGTTGTGATGTTATTGATACAGTAATTTGTGTGATGTAAATGATATAGTATCTGGTGTTATGTAAATGATATAGTATCTGGTGTGATGTAAATCATATAGTATCTGGTGTGATGTGAATGATATAGTATCTGGTGTGATGTAAATGATATAGTATCTGGTGTGATGTAAATGATATAGTATCTGGTATGATGTAAATAATATAGTATCTGGTGTGATGTAAATGATATAGTGTATCTATGGCGTGATGTATATAATATAGTATCTGGTGTAATGTAAATGATATAATATCTAGTGTGATGTACATGTATATAATATAGTATCTGGTGTAATGTAAATAATATAGTATCTGATGTGATGTAAATAATATAGTATCTGGTGTCATGTAAATGATATAGTATCTGGTGTAATGAAGATGATATAGTATCTGGTTGGATGTATATATTATAATAAAATCTGGTGTAATGTAAATGATATAGTATCTGATGTGATGTAAATGATATAATATCTGGTGTCATGTAAATGATATAGTATCTGGTGTAATGAAGATGATATAGTATCTGGTTGGATGTTTATATTATAATATAGTATCTGGTGTAATGTAAATGATATAGTATCTGGTCTAATGTAAATGGTGTGATGTATATAATATAGTATGCGGTGTTATGTAAATGATATAGTATCTGGTGTGATGTAAATGATATAGTATCTGATATAATGTAAATGATATAGTATCTGATGTGATGTAAATGATATAGTATCTGATGTGATGTAAATGATATAATATCTGGTCTGATGTAAATGATATAGTATCTGGTGTGATGTAAATTATATAGTATCTGGTGTGATGTAAAATATCTGGTGTGATGTAAATGATATAGTATCTGGTGTGATGTAAATGATATAGTATCTGGTGTGATGTGAATGATATAGTATGTGGTGTGATGTAAATGACATAGCTAGTATCTGGTGTGATGTAAATGATATAGTATCTGGTATGATGTAAATGATATAGTATCTGGTGTGATGTTAATGGTAAAGTTTTTGGTGTTATGTAAATGATATAGTATGTGGTGTGATGTAAATGATATAAAGTATCTGGTGTGGTGTAACTGATGCAGTATCTTGTGTGACGTAAATGATATTGTTCCTGGTGTGATGTTAATTATATATTTTCTGATGTGATGTAAATGGTATAATAACTGGTGTGATGTAAATAATATAGTATCTGGTGTAATATGAATGATTAGGTAACTTTTATATATCTGGTGTGCTGTAAATCATATATCTGAAGTAATGTAAATATGTAAGTAATAGAATATCTGGTGTGATGTAAATGATATATTGTCTGGTGTGACTTAATGCTATACATATTTTGTGTAATGTAAATAATACGAATTTTAACACATCGAAAATATACAATGACTAAGCGTGCGTGCGAAATATGATAATTCTTGTTTTAAATTTAGGTGTACATTCTTTTAAAAAAGTTATATTGTGTTATTATTTATAAAATGTATACTGAACCAAAAAAGAAACTTTCGCAAAGTATGTGTGCCAGTTGTTCAAGGGTATCACTTAGATGTACACACTTATATACATGTAGTAGCTTGTAAAACTCGTTTTGTTTGCAAAATCGGTCAGCTAATCCCCGTATAAAAGCCCGATATGTTTATTCAACGTAAAAATCGAGCTTTCAAAAGGATTGAAAAACTGTACTAACATATCTACATTCAAACTTGGAGAAAGTTTCTTTTTTGTTTCTTTTTTTTGTTATAAAGTATGATATTTACTATTTTCGTGATAGTACTTAACATACTTGATAAAAACTTCATATTTCTATTGCATGCAGTGATTATTGATATTATTTTTTTGCTGTTACATACATTTATGATGATTTATATAGAATTGGACCGCCACTGATATTTTGTAAAAAACAACCTTATGTTATGTATCACAGGCATTTGCCTTTTGTTCAATAAAATTATCCTTCTTCTTCTATATACACAAGGAATAAGGAATATAAAATGGTTGTTAGACAATATAAGTGAACTTACTTTTTTCTCTGGTGCTCTCTTGCCAGTACCTTCTTTTTGGAAAGCTCCTCATTTCTTTTGGCCTCGGCTTTCTCTTGCCGAGCCTCACAAGCTAGTCGTATCTGTTAAGATGTAACAAACATTAAAGTCAAACTCAAACTTTCCTTTTGAAAATTCACAATTTTGTCTAAATTGTATATATTCGTAGTAATAATATAAAAACTAAACATAAAAGGCCACAGTTTGAAATCATAGCCTATTGGCTATTCCATATAGTTATGCTGTTTGTCTTGCGAATTTATAGAATTTTTTGAGCAATACACAATTTCATCGTATATTCGTCAATACTCGGCATAGTTAGTTTTTTCTGTTGCTTACATAGCAATGTTTGCCGGATATATACATTGGATTAAATATAACTTTTTACGCTGTAGATTAAATATATAATCTTTAAGGTGAGATCAAAGGGCAAATTTGAAATGTCTTTAACTCTTAATATGCTAGTTACGTATCTTAAATGAATCTCAGTCTGGACGAAGCCACGAATCGTTTATAGGGGAAATTTTAACAGTTTTATATACTGACTATATAGCGAAAAATGCAGTTACATAACATATCTTATTAATATATGTATATAATTTTCAACTATACGTCAGAAATATTTTCAGTCGGAAGCAAATGAAGTATGTTGTATTCAAAATGAGGTTTATACTTACAGGTCCGTCAGCTTTCTTAATTGGCGGCAATATCGGCTTCATTTGTATTGGTTTGCAGTCTACTTCAATGACAAAAGACTCCCCGCCACGTGCTTTTCTATGCTCATATTGAACTAAAATAGAAATAGTATTGCCAATGAATTATGTTATTAAATACTTTAAAAATTCGTGTCTTCTCAATACACAGTCGAATATTTCATGTTTCTTTTCTTTAAATAAAAGTATGACGATAATAAACTTAAAAAACAGGAAACATAATTCATATATTTTTCTGTCACAAAATGCGAGTGAGATGTGTTTGTGTACTAAGTACTTACCTAGCGTTGGCGTGGGAGCGCGGCTAGCTATAGCCTTCCTTTTCTTTTCGCGTCGTTTCTCTCTTCCTTTTGGCAACCCAAGTTGAAATGAAACCAAAACAACTTGGGAGCTTAATCTTCTTTTTCTTCTTCTTCTTGTCATTTTCTTGATCAGATTCTTTGGTAGTGGTTGCAATGTCTTCCTTTTCTTCCTTTACCAATTTATCTTTTTTATCAATTTCCTTATTTTCCTTCAAATGAAGAGAAATCCCGATAGAGATAGTATTAAAATATATGGTGTCGCTTACATTAATTGTTATTCAAAGGTTTTCAAACATGTGCCATTCAAATTCAGCAAAACAAATTCATTTGTTCCTCGATCATCCTTCACATGAAAAGAATGAAATCAATCCGAAATATTTAAGTATCAATTATGATTGACAAAAAAGCTATTCAGCAGTAATTCAAAAACAAGAACGTTCGTCTGGAACCAATGAGATATACCAAATGTGCTCTGTATTTCAACAGTACATATTGTACATATATAATATGTTTACATTAAAAGAAATAGATAAGTCCTCGGGAGGACTATACCGGATATTGGCGAAATATAATATAATATAATAAAATATAATAATACAATACAATACAATACAATACAATACTATATAGTATAGTATAGTATAGTAGTATAGTATAGTATAGTATAGTATAGTATAGTATAATACTATATAGTAGTAGTATAGTATAGTATAGTATAGTATAGTATAGTATAGTATAGTAATAGTATAGTAATAATAGTAATATAATATATAGATATGATATATATGATATGATATGATATGATATGATATGATATGATATGGATATGATATGATATGATATGATATGATGGATATGGATATGAATAACAATATAAATATTAAATATAAATATAATATAATATAAATCTTCCATGAATGTCAAACACCTCGCGGAGACGTTAACATCTAACAAAATACATAATAAACATTACACATAATAAAAGTGTAAGTCAAGATATTTTCATAAAAAATGTTATCCCTGGGATTAATATATCATCATTTCAAATTTAGTTTGCAGTTAGTACTACAGTATTACGCTGAGAACAAGGAGATTTTTTAAGAAGTGAAACTCGAGGTTTACCTTATTTTCCGCCTCGTTTTTCGTGATCTTGTTTGAACGTGATCTTGTTTGAACTATATTATCAATTGTTCTATTTTAGAACATAAAAGTACCCATGTATGTACTAGAAGGTTCTTAACTGTTGTAAGAAAACTCATGCATTACATTAGATAGAAACTTCTGGAAGAATCTTTATTGTTGAAGTGTGCTAGATTATGATTACTTGAGAACAATAATAGACCTTTCTGGAAACTTCTTAGTTAAGGTTGAACTAATGCATGTGAGTTAGCTTTTAGGCTTAATTTAAAATCAACACAAAGTAAAATGAAATCAAGGTATGATGAGAATGCTCAGGAAAGAAGTTTTAACCCTGGTGATAGAGTACTTGGGCTCTTTACCTATTACCTGGAAAACATTACAGGCAAGATACTTTGGTCCTTTCTTATAACTATTTTGAGAAGAAAGTCAGTGACCTTAATTATATTATTAATACTCCTGGGAGGCGAAAGCAAAAAACAAATGTGTACATAAAATTTAAAAGAATATTTTTGACAGAGAATATAGCAAAATTAAGTTTAAAACCTATAATCTTTTTGTAAATATGTTCCCAAATCAATTGTTTATTTTGAAATAATAGGTGTGAAAATTTTGAAAAAGTCTGATTCCTGGTATCAGAAAGTTGAAAACTTGATTTTTTGAAAAAATCTGGATGAAAAACTTGCCTTGCACTAGAACCCTGTCCGAAAATGAGATTGAACTGAATACAGCTTTATTTATGAATAGAAATTTATTTCGGCTATGATTACGCCAACGGATGATAAAAAGAAATACATCATGAGTATTCTTGAAAAACCTGAACCAATAAACAAACCCATATAGAAGAACCTTAAAAAACAAAATTTTCCTAAGACAAGAAGTTAGTATTTTGGATAAATAATTTATGATTGCACCAAGTCAAATGAAGTTAAGAGCTATCCATGTAATTCTGGTACCGAAAATAAAAAGGGAAATATAGAAAGTGTACAAAATTATGAAAGGGGAATCTGTAAAAAAACTGATTCTTTTCCCTTTATCCCGGGAAAAATTGATGATTTTTTTGAAAAATTGGGAAAAGGGAAAAGAAAAGAAACCAAATTTTGTTTCCCTAAAAGGTTTCCCGGGGAAAATTTCCACTTACTGATAGAGTAAAAAAAATTAAAACCCTTTGGGTAAAAAAGAGGTTTTATATCAATATAAAGTAATGCTTTTGGTATAAAAACTCACCAGAAAAATTTTTTAGGGGCCAAAAATTAAACATGGTAATTCTGGTCTCAGGGTTGAGAAAAACCATTGATGACGCAATCTTTAACCCCGGGGATAAATGGGAAAAGGAACTCTAAAAACTATCCCAGCT